ATATTTACCAGTCAACACTAAGAAAATGTTCTCTGCATACCCGGTTATAGGTTAAAAGATGATATTACTGATATTAACTAACAATCTTCTCAACAGGTCAGTTTTGTCTAACAGAAACCTAAAAATAGTTAAATTTACAATATTATTTTACACTGTGTAAACATTACATAAATCAGAGGCAAAACTAGTTTGTAATATTTAATAATTTGTGCTAAATTGTACCATGACTCAGCAGAGTGCTACACTCTATAGCTATATATGCTACAGAAGCTAATATATGCTAACCAATTCAATGATTAGCAGTGATTACATCGGATTTATAAGCTTATTTTATTTTTAAATTGTGAAATTATTAGCTTCACTACTGATCAGATCACATCCACATTGAAGAAAATAAGATAAAATCTGCTTACTTGTGAATTGAGATGTTTTCTTGTTTTTCTTCTGTTGGTACATCCATAACACAGCTTTCTGACAGTTTTATCTACATTAGATAACTTATATACCCTCTAAAATATTAATAACAATTCTGTTAATATTATTCTTAATAGTTTTAATTATCTCTACATCGTCAGTCCTTTTTTTATAGTGCCAACATGTTCAGTCGTGGTAAATACAGACATTTGCTCATTCTTCTTTCTGCAGCTGCTACAGTAGATCACACAGTCACGATAACGAGACTCACTCTAGCGGTTATCGGTTCCTCCGTGTCTAAAACTAAAAAGAAAAAGTGTTATGAGCTACAACAATGATCATGTTTCTTTCTTTGTTAGTATATAAAACAAGCTGATTACAGTAGCTTGTTTTCCTCTGATTGGCACTGACTATTCAGCTATCACAAAGTAATTACAGTTTTTTAAAACGCTTCACTTCCAGGTGCTTTGTGAAACAGCTGACTGTTCTGTTTAGCCCCTGACTGCCTTACAGACTTTACAGCCATCAAAACAATATTATCTATCATTGTAAGTGCATGCGCCTAATGTGCCCCCCAATTACTGCCAGGCGCGCCTCAGTGAATATAAACCCAKTCATGTAAAATGATTTACTGTCAGCGCAACATTTAAACACACAAACAGCGCGGCGTTGTGGTGCACAGCCGCTGACGGGAAGTTTAGCTTTTAATTAATCACAGGCACGTGCTGCCGAGGATGTCGTAAAAATGCAATATTTAACCTTTTAAATTTTTATAAAGGCTGCAAAGAACATAAGGCTCCAAGTTTGCAGCATGTCAGAAAGTTTTTCATAGCTACTTTACAAATGTAGCAATTTATAGTTTATTTTTTCTTTTTTTTATTTTTTAATTTTGCCCATCTTGAGATCATAGAATTTGGTGTGCATGCAGCAGTTTGTACGTGCGCTCACTATTAGCCGTATTATTAATAGCAGCGGCTCTATGAGGCAGAGAGGGGAGGTGTCGGAGAGAGATCACTTTCTGCCAGAGAAGTATTCCCCTGGTGCAGATTCTGACAGATAACCTGAGGAATGCATTCAAAGAACCCAAAAATGTTTTTTCCCTGTTCTTGTTTTGCACCCATCTCCTCCCCCATCTCTCTCTCTCTCTCTCTGCATCACAGTTGCTGTTGGTTAACTTGCTCTTTGGAAACTCTTAGAAAAAAATTGGTTTTTTGAGAGGACAAATCTTTTGTTTGTGCGTTTTCTCTGTAAGCAGATTTTGATTTGTAACTCCTTGTCAACCTGTCCACCCTTCCCTTCTCGCCCTTGTCCCATTGAACCTCCGTGCTTCCTGTCTTCATCCTTCCTCGCCCTCATTCGTTTTGCTCTGCTGTCTCCTCTCGTTTTCTCGCCCATCTTCACCTCCCCACCTTCACCTGTCATTATACCTCTCCTTTTCTTGTTGTTTTCCCGTATCCCACTTTTTCCTCCTGCCTGGCCTTCCTTTTTTTTTTTTTTTTTTTACTCCAGGTCGGCGACGAAATCTTGAAGATAAACGGTGAGAGCACCCAGGGCATGAAGCACGCGCGAGCCATCGAGCTCATCAAGAACGGAGGCCGACGTGTCCATCTGCTGCTCAAGAGGGGCGATGGCTCCGTGCCTGAATATGGTGGGTCAATCTACGAAAACATTCCCTTCTCACCCATCTTCACACCCTGAGCCGGGGCTCGGCCAGTGAATGGTGGCGGTTTGAAGGGGGGAAAGAACTGAATCACTCCCGGGACCCCTCACCCCTCCTCTGGCATAAACGCACCAGGGAAGGGGTCACTTGGCTTTAGGTCTTTTATGTGGTGAAGGTCTTTCCTGTGCTTTTTCTGGACTCTGGTGGAGGGGGAGGACAAGCTTGGAAGTGTCACCTGCTCTCAGTTTCCATGTCATCCCGCTGTCACTTTTCACCTTCTGGCCTCTGAGCAAAAGCACTCTGCTGGGACTTTACAGAACGGTGGTGGGCCTAATTTCAGTGTTACTTAAAAAAAATGTGTTTACAGGGTTTGAATGACCAGAGCAGGAAACAAATCAATGTTTCTTTTGATAAGAACTTTAAGCTTAAACACCAATTCAGCATTAAGAGGAGAAACTTGATCCATGGCATCCCATTCAAAACGTGGGACACCTCTCAGCCATATTGTGACACAAACATATTTATGCTATTTATTGAAGGTGAATGTAAGCTACTGAACTCCTAAAGGTTTAAGTGAGAACTGTGCTGAAGAAAAGGCAGTGAACTGTGCTTTTCCCCATTTTTTTATTCCAAATCTCACTATACTGTATTTGACATTGCTCACTCATTCACGGATTTCTTTTTTCCTGTTTCTGCTCTCATTTTCAATGTCATTGAAATGTCGTAAAGGTAAAAAAAAAAACGTCACCACAACCCTTTCAACAACAACAACAACAAAAAAAATCAACTAAAGAGTTGTTACGGTTATATAAATGTTTTTGTACAGTGATGAAATGAATAGAGGCATTTTTACAAATATTTTTCTTTGGTGTACAGAGCCATGAATCAAAGCCACATATTAATGGATAAAAGTTTATTGCTGCATGAACTTGTCAAGAGTGTAAATCTGAACTTTTCCCCCCTTCGTATTGTCTATTTTCCATAATATTTATGGAACTTTTTTTTTTTATTGTACTCAATGGTTTGGATCGATAGTCAGGAGGAGTCTTGCTGATTTACTTTGTCTGGCCTTTTTATTTTTTTATTTTTTTGAGTGGAGAGTTGCCTGTGTTCAGTTTCTTTGCGCTAAGAATGTGCCGTCTGATCTGCACCGATATGACATCATGTGAACTTTGTATATTTTGGATCATTGTTTGATTTTTTTTTTTAGTTGATGCAAGTGCTTTGTTAGTCTTGCTGGTCTTTTTTATTTTATTTTTTTAGTTGTTTTTTTTTTTAGTTTGTTTTTTCTGCTGCTTTCTTTGTCCACATGTCCAGGTGTGTGTGTGTGTGTGTGTGTGTGTGTGCGTGTGCGTGTGTACTTGATTCCAAGACTTTTCTGTGTAACTGATGGCTTTCACTGAAGGGTTTGGTTAACTTCCTGGACTGTCTTTATTCTGACTGACTCAATGATTAAATAAACACTTTTTTTTTTCATTACGAATCAACACAAACAAAAATTCTCTCTTGTCTTTCTTCAAGTTGGTTCCAATCAATCTAAACTACTGTGTTTTTTTCTGTTTTTGTGTATCCTCTCCTTCTCTGTGTGTGTTGTGCTGGGCTTCCTTCAGGGATGGCCGCTCCCCATCTCACTGCATGTGTGAGAAATGACAAGATGGGGGAGGCCTCTGTCCTCCAAAATCAGACCACGGTTTGTAGTTGTCCTGCTGTCCTCTGTCGTSTGGCTTTTCTCTGTGTCTGCGACTTCCTTCATCCTGACGTGTGTGTGGTGTGGCCTCAGATCACTCATGCCCGTGCTCTTCTCCATGCATATAAATCTGTTCACCCTTTGCCAGTATCGCCGCTGCCGTAGCTCTCCATTGAAGCACTTAAGCGTCTTTAAATGCAGTGCCCTTACTTAAAAAAGCAGGGCATAAACACATTCAGTCGTAATGAAGCATTGTGGCACTTTGAAGAATTAATGCCACCCATATCATACCTGCCGTCACTACAGWTTCCAGTGTTGAATCTCATGTTGGACATTTGAGTTTGTGTTGAAAATTTGCTCAGTGTCTGCCGGGTTATAGCAGTGCATGAAAGAGCATGGCTAATCAGCGCAATCAACGTCATTTAAATGAAGGACATCGGCACTGATTGTAATCAGCCTCTAGTCGAGCCGCCCAACAGACCAGCCCTCGTCCTGCTTCAGAGACATGACCCCAAGTTAGACCAGGAAAACAGGTTTGTTGTGGGTAACCACTCCTCTTCGATGCAATGGCTGCTTCATGACTGTTTCACTGCCTTTTATTCTGTAAGCTGTTCTCATTGGCTGCTGCCGTGCCATCTAACATTTGCTTTTAACATCAGACTGGCTTCCATTGGAATTGTTCTCAGCTTCATGTCTGAGTGAGTCAGCATGATTAATGTAAAAGCCAATCGAGTCCTTTAGAGTCCAGATTGCATGTTCKATTGCTCTGCCCTCATTTGTATGTCATACTGTGTTGCAGACGGCAACCCCGACGACCTCATCACAGCCGAACCAATCACAAGGCTACAAAACCCTGCGGAAGTGAGCAACATGCCCCGAGCGAACACGCCATCAGAGTCAAGCTACCCACCAGAACCCCCGCAATCATCCCAGAACAGGACAGATCGGCGCCGCCGTACTCAAGGCACTGGCACGAACCACCGTTCCAACAACCGCCACCGCTCCCCCAACAAAGTCAGCACAGGAAAACACAGGAGGAGGAGGAAGGATGGCAAGGATAGTCACGGTCACCGCCACCAATCCAGCGGGCGCCACCGTAGCCGCCACCGCTCGCCCACCAAGGGGCACGGCCGGTCACGCAGTGCAGACAACGCCCTGGACAGCCATCATCGAGGGCACCGCCGTGGTCGCTCTCCCGAACGGAAACACGGTCAGCACTCCTCCTCCAACCACCGTCACCACTCCCCCCGACGCTCACCGTACCGCTCGCCCAGGCGCTCGCCGTACCGCTCGCCCAGGCGCTCGCCGCACCGCTCGCCCAGACGCTCGCCTTACCGCTCTCCTCGCCGTCACAGGTCCCCCCACCGCTCTCGTTACAGCTCCCCTACCAGACGTCGCCACCACTCCTCAGATCCTTACCGGTACAGCTCCCCGGAGAGACACGCCCGCAGCAATGAGAAGCCTGTTTCYAACGAGCCAGCATACGATGACCCAGTCAGGACCCCTGAACCCAACGTCCTTTTTGATGACAGCATTCTGCAGGAGTCCCCGGCCCTGGACCGTCTGAACAGGGAAGCCACGCTTCCACCGCTGCAGAGAGAGGCTCGCCAGTATGGAGAGAACAACCTGCTGATGGGATCCTCCACCATGGAAAGGGCCTACAGAGGTGACCGACTGCTGAAGGACGTGCCGTCCCGCAGCAAGATGGACCCTTACAGAGACACGACCCTGCCCAGGGTCCGCACCCCTGACTTCGATTCAGCCTACGAGAAGTACAGCTCACTGTTGAGGGGACGCACGCCCGATATGATCGAGAGGGATGGGCGCCGTGCCAGCAGAGGTAGCACCCCTGATCCTCAGTTCCGGTCTCGCAGCCTGGGACGAACCATCTCCCCAGTTAAGTTCAGACAGGACGACTCMGAAGACGAAGAGGACGACGACAATTTCGTAGCGGCTAAATTGAGAGAGTACTACAGYACGGTCAAGTCCAACCCAAGTCGTCCAGCTAAGCTCGTGGTCCCTGAGCCCAAGAAGACCTACAAGGATAATCCCAAAGACCTGAGCATCTGATTGAAACCTACCCACACAACACCTCAGCTACTCACTTCCATTACCAATCGGTTTTACAAGAATGAACCCATTTATGTAAACACGCTCACACACTTTAACATGACACACACACACACACACACACACTGTACATATATACACACATATACAAATATAGTTTGTTTTTATCTAAGTGTACAAATACTGTACATTGCACCAATAAAAGTGCATCCAGTTCTTTATAGTATATATATTTAGAGTGTTTGCCTCTGTGATTGATTCTAATCACAGTGAAGCTTCGATGACCAGGGATCCTTGTATTGCCTTGTAATGGTTTGGTCACATCATTAGACAMGTGTGTGATCTATTTTGAGTTGCTGTGTTTCAGATCAGACAGCAGTGCTTTATTTGTGTCTCATTTTAGCTACCTGTGCTTATCATTTTGGAAACCATGTGAATCAAAGGGGAAAATGTGTTTTAGTGGGTGAAAATAGGTCTGCATGTTGTGTCTAACTGGGTGAAATGTGTTTAGTGTTCTGACAAAAGGGTGGCCATTTTATTAAATGGGTTCGGGGAACTGAGCGTTTGGTTCAAAGAACAGGGTTTAGTGTTGTAGCAACTGAGAAAAACTGTAATGCTTAGATCAATACGCCCAACCCTAACAGATACTGGGGTAAATTTGGTGTGGTTGGAGCTGAGAGTTACAGATCGTGCTCTCTTTGAAAGCACTTCTGTCCTCTCAGCAGAAGATGATCTCAGTCTAAACCTCATGTAAAATTCTGCTATAGATCCGCAGGTCTTCAAGGAATGCTAAGACCTTTATTTTTCTGAAATGAATTCCCTTTGCTGCAGCATATGCTAAGGTACTTAAAACCATATGTTTAAAAAAAAACTCTGAGCATCCAGAATTACCCAGTGGACACAATCTGTGATGCTCATGAGAGGRAATGGGAAACGGAGATGAAGCGTCAGTGATCAAGCAGCCACATATCAGAGCTGTTTTGGCCCAGTTTCTCTGCAGTTCAAGCAGTCGACAACTCATTCAGCTCCTTTTGATTCAGGGATCTGAAACAGCTTTTTTTTATTTTTTATTTTACACCACCACATTTATGCAGCCCAATCTAGAAAGGTAAAACATGAGAATGCAGAAGGTGATGCACCACAGTGTGTCATTTAAAGGAAAAAAAAAACATTTATTTGTCAAATACTCAATCAGATGATTGATTAATATTGTTATTGTAATATTTTTACTCATGAAACGAWGCCTTACTCAGAATCCAAACAGCTTGCACACAGACAGATGCTTGTATCCTGCTGCGTTCCTACAGAAGGAGAACCATGCAGCTCSTAAATAATGGATGGAATCCCCTTTGGAGCACTGAAACACTCTCCTCCCCTCTCTTTAAATGTCTCTCTCCCTCTTTATCAGGACACACTTCACCCTTCATCACCGTATGCAAAAACCAGCCACATGTTTCATAGTTTGAGCCACCTAAGAAATGATTAACAGCCRTGTTTTATTATTTATTTATTTGGGGGGTGGGGTGTAATTTATCATGTCAGGACCAGGCAGGAGGATGCAGCAGTAATGAAATACCCAATAACATGACGACAGACCCCGGCAGGCTGACCACCACCAGCCCACCCTCCCGTCAGCCCTGCTCCAGATGCTGTCGTCTCTGACCCTATAGATCCTCTGCTCCAMTGCCATGGAAACGCTGAAGCAACAGGCTCCTCTCTCAAGCTGACCGGAGCAGACAAGCAGTTCTGCATCCATAAATACAAAAGCTAACAAGAGCGTGGAGTTATTTTTGGCTGCTGGTGCTTGCAGGATTTCAAACGAGCTTTTGTTTAGGAGGAAATTGTCAAATGGCTCCTGAAGCCAGGAGCTCGGCCTGCTGTGGTTTTCCAGTGCTGTCATGTAGCAGCTTTTCTTTGTCCTAATACTGTATCTGTCTCATGCTCGGCTGGSCATGACCTTCTGAAGCCAGAAAGGTGCAGTGAGGGAGTGTTTGGCTGCTGAAATGGAATTCCATGTAGTGTCCACTTTTCTTATCAACGTCACTGCATCACTGGATATAGTGCATTTATTTTTTTGCTTTGCTTTTGAAAAGGCAGTAAAAGACTCCACTAATTACTGAATAAATGCTTTAAAAAAATAATAAAAATCCACAAAATCAGCCTTTTTTTTTCTAATGAATTCATATCTTTCTTTGCCTTTTCTTTAGATTTGACATCTATTTCAGTCAGAACTTCTTTCTTTACTTCTGTTATACATTTTATGATTTATGACAATATTATTGTTACCTTAAGATAACTTCTTGTAAATTGGTGCCATATAAATAAAGTGAAATGATTTAATTCTGGCAGCTTGGCAAAGAAAAAACCAGACCAAGCGAGGCCAAAACTAAAGTAGACTGTTCTGAACAACTCAGATCTCAAAAAATGTCATTGCAGATAGAAATTATAATCTGCTGTAACCTTCAGTCATAAGGACTGTTGCATTCAGGGAGAAAAAAAATGAATAAAATTACAAGGRCCTTGTTCAGAGTGAGAAAACAAATAATTTTCTAAATGATGACTCATTCAAAGTAATCAGATGAAGGCATCTGAATTTGTTGTAATTTATTTAAGATCAAAGTTAATGCAGAAAGGCTGAAATTGTTAATTATAGCATACGGGACAACAGAATGGCAGTCCTGATGTATGACTTCATATGGTTACATGGATACAAAGATATGTGCAGATTGTGGGTTTGAAGCATAAACTGGTACCAAACATCAGGCAGTGAGCATCAAGTGACAACCACTGGAAGTGAGGGTACAAACTAACACCAGATTTTACACAACCACATGTTTTTCATAAGCAGAGATGCTAACAAAACACTATCAGCTGTAGCAGTGTTACAGAAAAAGATCTGAAAAACATTAATATTAACAGCAGAAAGAAAATCAACTCTTGTTCGTGCCAGCGTTGGCTCTGCAGCTAAAAAAAGTAGCACTTTAAAACTCCCATGAGCCTTTGCTTTAAAAGTAAAGCAATGACTTGTGTTGTTTATGAATTGTTTTTGATTGTTGCTATGATTTACCATTTTAGGCAAATAATYGTAGTAGATGGGCTAAATTGCTCAGGGGGCACTGCACTACACTAAAGAACAAGCATTATTATACTTTACATTTTTAATTTGTTTATTTTGCTGCATTGAATCATTTGTTTAAAACTGATATATATATATATATATATATATATATATATATATAAGGATTCATCGAGTCAGACTAAAGTCAGTTGAATAGCCCTATAGTAGAGTGTTCATTGAAGCATCAGGCCCCATTTACTTTTTCTATGCAGAATTTATTGAGTCTAACAAAAATGCTGACACACTCATGCTGCACCACTAGGTGGCAATAGTTTATCAAATACCGAAAACATTCCAAGTTTTGCGTAAGAATCTCCCCAAAAATCATTTTGTTTTGGTTTTGATTTGATAAAAAGCACGTTTTATTAGTTCGTTGACAGTTTCTCTCATTTACCCTTTTTATCAAATTAAGTTTATTGACGAATCATTTAAAGGGAAGCAGATGTAGAAGAAAACAATTTTAAAAAATGGCTCAGTTGTTGGGGCACAAAGTAAAGCAGGCAGTGTGAAACAGGTTGCCACGTTTGTTCAATCATAGTTATCAAAAATAGTTTATAAAAATCTCCACATTGGAATTTGTTTTTAAAAATCTGAATGTTTTTCTTTGTCAAAAAAAAAAAATCTGTAATCACACCAAAATATTTATGTTTAAAAAGAACTATCTGGGATATTTTAGACAGGGCCTCAAACTGGCAATTATTGCCATAATGATAAAAGTTTAGCAAAGAAAAATACAATGTTCAGAATAATTTTGTCACTAAGAATATACAGTAGGTCTGTAGTTATAAGAACGGCCTCTGGCTTTTTTTCTTATATCTGAATTATCCAGATTTCTATGGGTCAGCATTTAAAGATGAACAAATATAGAATCAGTTGTTGTGAATCTTTGAACTGAACTGAGGGAAGTCGTGTGTTTGACCTGAGGTGAAGCCAAAACATCTGTATTTCCTTCATTTTGCCAAGCGGTGGTTCAGTCAGCAGCTCTCAGCAGAAACTAAAAGGAGGAAACAAAGATAATTCATCACGTATAGAACAGTCCTTCAGCTTGTTTTCATTCATCACGTCACCACATCTCATTAGTTCCCAAGCAATCAGGAGTCAGTAATTAATGTATGTGTGTGTGTGTCTGAGTGTGTGTTTGTGCTCTGACTTTGTTATCCGTGCTGCATGCCTGCGTTGTCAACAAACTCAGGGAGGAAATCAGTCATGTTCRACGCAGGTCTACCGGCAAACATGCTTCAAAGCTCTACCTTCCCTTCAGCATCCCTTCTTTTTTTAGATTTGACAATGTCAGGTTAAATATTGATGCTCTGAAGTTACTTCAAAGCCTGAGACGAGAGGGCGAGTTTCACTTTGGCAACATACCAAAGGAGCAAAGATACTTGTTTTTTAATCAAGTAAAGCATTTGGTTAAAGAGGGGGAAAAAAGGTGAGTATTTTTAAACATGTACATAAGTAAAGTTAATTTTTTTTAACATTTTAAATTATTTTTTGTCTGCCTGTTTTGACTGCTTATTTCTACCTTTTCAGGGTAAATTTAAAAAAAACTTTATGTACATTGCTGGGGAAAACAGATAGGATCCGACACATTTAGTAAAAATACTGTCTCTTTAACCTGACATAAACAGTGGTGGGCACAGTTCCCCTAAAGCACTAATATGGGAACTAATTTCCTGATTAGTGCTTTAGGGCTTTTGCTAATTTAATTTTTTTAGATGGATTAGCACTTGCTAAATTTATAGGCTAAATTTAGAAGCACTTACTGAGGTCTATAAATGTTATTGATCAAATGTTAATGTTAATAACTGACGGTGAAAGCTAATGCACATTTTGTTCATGTGTGTGTCACTTATTCACCAGGTGAAATATTAACAATATATAAACCCAAATACAGATGTGGAATGACAATGACAAGTCTTAATAGAGCAACATGACAACATGTGACTCATGTTGTCTGTTGAAGAATGTTCATGGGTTGACTGGGTTATTTTAGTGCTTTACAATTAGCTTTT